GTGTGTGTGTGTGTGTGTGTGTGTGTGTGTGTGTGTGTGTGTGTGTGCGTTTTACCTCCATAATATGTGGTAGGTCGTTGGTGTAGTAGTGTTGATGATGACCGTTGACTGCTGATAATGCCAGCAGATACTCATTACGAACTTCAGTCAAGCGGTTGTCACACTCTCTCAACCTGGCACTGAGCTGTTCACACATCATATTTTAGTTCAAGTGAAACATGCATCAAACATCACAAACTTTAACATGAAAAGAGGAACAAATATATAGAATACAGACCACTGTAAACCACTTACAATACTGTATTAAACTGAATTTATAACAACTTAGATTCACCTAAAGTCAGAGTGTTTTAAGACTATTTGATAATGGATACCCAGTGTGTATTGTAATAAGCTGCCGCATAATTTAAACATATCCGACTCTGACACCAAATGTAGCCCATTTCAGTTTATTGTTTTATCTTAAAGGTCTGGACACACCGGGATTTTGAAGGATCCTTTCGAGGAGGATGTTGCATCATTCACTTTTATCTCCTCTGTTGGAGTAAAAACTGCCCCACAAAACCGCAATGGTTTGCAGAAAGTTTGACAATTCAGACTAACAGTTAGCAAGCTCCTTAGCCCTCTTTGACTTTTTCTTCAACAAAATGGCAGCTTGCAGTAACAGCAGTTCACCAATACAACTGCAAATATTCTGTCACCAAGCTTCTGACCCTCACCTACAGTATTTCTCGTGGACGAGCAAATGTCACTTTGTAATGTTACCACTGCATTACAGCTTACTGGAAGTAGTTCAGTCTGAGCTGCTCTCATGGACCCTGTCAGCAGAGTTTCCAGTAAAAACTACTGATAAAACCACTGTACACTACCTGCTCAGCTCCAAACAGCAGACCGACACAGTCAGAGACTAGTAGGAGACTAGAGTGGAGCATTTAGCAGCTAAAGAGACAGATATTTCCCTCAGGAGCTAAAGGAAAACAAACTAGAAACTAAAACGAAAGAGAATATTGGACTCACATTAATCAGGTGGACACTAGCACAACTCAGTTTGCTGACATGTTAGAGGCTGAAAATGTTTGGTCAGATTGTTTCGATGTTTTTCTATCCCTCAAGCTGTATTTAGCTTGACAACAAGCTGGGCCATAAAGTATATCCTGGAGGCTAGGTGAGGGCCCTGCAGTTCCACGGGGCCCTGCTTTTGAACAATCCTCGATAATGTAAACAGCCTTGTACAACATTAAAATCAAATAGTGTGCTCTTGATGATGTTGAGTGTATTTAAAGAGGCAAAACTAAAAGAAAATCAAGTTATCTTTACTTAAAAGCCTGCTCACTCATGAGCATATCTGGAAGCACAGGAATATTTGTCAGACTAGTTCCCCTCATATTTCCTTACAATATAAGGCAAATTTGTGATTTTTGGCTATACTGTATAAATAAAGCTGACTGGACTTATATCAGAAATACAGTATGTTGAGTTGAATGTTATTACTGAAACTTCCATTTGGGGAGAAACAGCACAGTTGATTTCTGTTATATAGACCTACATACACAATATATTACAATATAGTTCATTTCAGATTCATACCTTAGCAGTCATCTTATGTAGTCCTGTTTTAAAGTGGAAAATCCCATGTTCACTCTTTCTGGCTCTGGAAGACACAGTTAAAACATATTGATGACATATAAGACACCTCTTCACATAAAAAAAATGCATCATGAGGAAAACATTGTCAACTGTCAACTTTGACTGTTTATGCATCATTGATGTAAACAGAGTCCATCTCCTCTCACGCATAACACTGTCTCACATATTGCTTGTATGTGGATGGATGTGCCTCTTAAAGTAGCAATATACTTGTTTTTTGCTATAATTTATCATCATGGAGTAAATGTTGATTGTACAATGAAATGGCTTTAGAATATTGACACCAACTGCTTTTGAATTGGTTCCCAAGAGGCCTCACTTCACTATGCAATTCTGTCTGCCATAAGTTGCGATCTCCTGGGAAAATGAATGCTCGATTTACAGCACAAAGCTGTGACTTGGTACTGTTGCCAACTCTTTTCCAATGATAGTAACTCGCACTAGCTCCAAAATAGCTAAAAGTTGCAAGATTATGTCATCTTCTCATTTGCCTTTTGATGATGTCACCACGCATTCATTTGCATAAAACTTAAGTTGGAGCTCCACCAAATCCAACCAACACACAGAAAGACGGGACGGAACCCCAAACGGTCAGTTTTGCTCCGGCAGGTGGGCGAGGCTTGGTTCTGGCTCGACTGATTTAAATATGGCGGACAGGTCACAAACTTTCTCATTTTACAGTTGAACAGTTAACTAAAATATGTTTCTGAAAACATTTGAGGTGAGATAAAAGCAATGCAGGAACAGAATATTGATTCATTTTTTATCGCACTGCCTAGTTTGACTGTTTGATCTGAGTTTCGCGAGCCTGCTACATTGCGATGGAAGGACCTAATTTGCATAAAGTTGAGGTTGAGTAATGATTGTGCAAATTTAGATACGGCGAATGGTCAGTCAACTCCCCCTGTTGTATCCACCATGCGGCAGTCTCTCTTGCTCTCAAATGAATGGAATCCGTCAACTTCACATAGATTTGTTGTATCTCCACCTTTTGAGGTTGGGTTGGTTGCAGCGGGGGAGAAGCTGCCTGTGCATGTTGCAAGTAGGCCCTGAGGAAATGCGACAGAGGCGCCAATAATAATCCTACTTAAAAACGGGGGGGGGGGGGGGTTACATCATAATTTTTGTTTACCTGGTCTGCACATCAGCAGCTTTCTCTCTGGCAACATTGGCATTGTGACTGAGTTGGTGGTAGCTCTTCTTGATCCCGTGCAGCTCCTGCAAAGCATCCACCACTTCACCCTGTACCCTCTGGAGCTGCTCCAGGCCCTTACACGTACACACACAAACGCACGCATAGCAAAAATATCCATTCAGCCAACAGTATACTTTGGTAAAAAGGCTCTGTGTAGTGTGTTAATATGTGTTTCTATACTGTCTGCAGCTCTCTCACTCTCTTAGCTCGGATGTCCTTCGCATTGCGATAACTTCTGGAGGCTTGCCCAATCAGCTGGTGGTATTCCTCTGCAGCGGCTAGTCGTAATATGGCAGACTGAGCTGTAGCATCTACCACTGACCGCCACGCAGCAAACACACTCCTGAAAACACACAGAGATATGGACTGACAAACGCTGATTAAGTTCACTTCACACTTCTTTCTCAAAGCTCAGTCAGTATCAGTGCACATCTAAGCACCTGCCTGTGAATATGTGTGAAACTGGATCAATACTAATTTGTGCCATGAAGACACATGCCTTTATTATATTCCTTGTATATTATAATGTAAATAGCCACAATGCACCTTTGAACATATTCCTGCTCATATAACCCTAACCAATAATGTGAACCATACATTTGCTATGTTGCTTTTCCCCTGATTCATTACTATCAGACAAGTCAGACATATTTAATGATGATCAGAATTTTTTCTAAAATGACTTTTCTTATCTGTTCTCTATGTAAGTAGCCTGGTTACAGCCTCCTAAACAGACCCCGATGTAGTCTACAGACCAAGAGGTGTGACACTGACACAAGTGGCTATTCGTGGTGCAACGGATCATAACACTCACGGTTCGGATCAGATCACGGATCGGATCAAAGATTGAATCAGCACAAAAGAATAAAGGGAGCAAATATAACTTTTAAAGGTTTTTTTGCCACTGATATTAATTGCAGATCATTGATGATCCATACTTGCAGATACAGATCCCTTTGTTGTTTGATTATAGCAGCTGGTCTACAAGGCATCACACTTTTTTGCCACTGTCCCAAAAATCATTTCAACCACTCTGAAGTCTGTAAACCATAAAAAACACACAATTCCAATGATAAGGAATTCAAAGATTGTATTTTTATGGATTAAAACAAATCTTGTCATCAATAGTTTTAATGATGTATTATAAGCTGTTCAGAGCTAGTGTTAACAGGACATAGTTCCTCTCTAATATCTATTTATGTTGCTGTGAAAACATCTCCTTCAAAACAACTGGATTTATTTAAGTTTCTCACCAAAACTACATTTTACGAGATTACATGTGACCACATCATGATAACGTTATAATTTACTTTCGCCCAATACTCATTTTCACCTAACAGAGCCTGAACGCATCATAAGGTAACCCAACGGAACCTTAATTCTCCTCCTGTTAAACGAATTGGTCGTTTACAATGTAACATTATCAGAGAGCAGCGAAGAGAAAAGCATAAATGCCCGATCACATATTTTACTGAATGTTGGCAGATAACGATCGTCAAAAATTTCATTTCACACTGAGGTGATTAACGTTCTGTGTAAACTGTGTAATTGATCCAGGGTCAATATAAGAAAACATATAGACTCAGTGCCATATGTGCCATCATGCATTATCACCTTAAAGATACATATTCTATTTACACAACAACTTTCCATACTGAAAATTACATCAAAGCAACCAGGTACACCTAGTCTAGTGGTTGGTTTTGGAAAATAAAGTTAACTTAAAAAAATGAAACAGAAAGCTGCTGTGTGTGTGTGTGTGTGCGCGCGCGCGCGCGTGTGTGTGTGTGTGTGTGTGTGTGTGTGTGTGTGTGTGTGTGTGTGTGTGTGTGTGTGTGTGTGTGTGTGTGTGTGTGTGTATAGTTACCCAGATGTGATGGCATCTGTATTTCCTCTTTGCCAGTCTCTTTTCTGGTACTGGACTGCTAATCTCTGAAGAGCCTGAAAATGCACATTTAACACCGGATTATGACCTCAAGAAAAGACTGCAAAATGTAATGTGTCAATCGTGATGAGATATGTTTGGCTTTCATGTTATTTAATTTTTTTACCGCTTTGTCTCTAAACTTGCAATAAGCTGTGTGCATCGTGTTATTTGTAGATTTTGTGACTTCTTTGACTTGCTATTGTCATGATTACATTGGCCTTGTTTTTGCCTTATTATGTTACAGATTTTTGTAGCCACGCACCATCATAAGGTCAAGTTCAATATGTCCAATATTTTGATTTATAACAAAATACCAAATACTTTCAAGCATCAGGCATTAAACAACTGATCAGTCGTTTTTTTAATTATTTGCTTCAAAGCTAAAGTTGGTTAGTATAGTTATAGTTGGGTACACATTTGTAAGCAGTAGTGTGGACACTCTATACACACACACACTCACACACACAGTTGTGTTTTCATGACATTTGGGGATATGTACATTCACTTACATTAATTTCCTGGAGACTTATCCTAACCAAAACCGTAACCCCTACCAGCCTTAACCCTTCCTTACCCTAACCGTAAACCAAGTCTTCACGCTAAGCTATAATGATTATGTTAATGACACATGCATTTTGTCCCCAAAAGGAATGAGAGTCCCCACAATGAGAGTGTGTAATCAGACTTATGTCCCCACCAGACTGGTAAAACTCACCCACATGTATAAGATGTTCACACACACATAAGTGAAACATTCTCCACCAATGTGCAAACAACACATGAAGCTCTCTTCAGAGCATTCCTGAGAAGGTAAGAACTTGGTACAACAGGTAAGAGATTGCATTTAAAATATGCAATCTCTTGCCAATTGATTTAAATGGACTTGTTCTTATATAGTGCCTTTCTAGTCCTACTAACGCAAAGTAGCTTTCACACTACATATCACTCACACCCATATATACACTAATAGCAGGGGTTACCATGCAAGGTGCCACCTGCCCATCAGGACTAAGTAACATTTATAACCATTCATACACCGTAGGCTGCCTTCAAGAGCAACTTGAGGTTAAATATCTTGCCCAAGGAAACATCGACATGGAGGGAATCGAACCGCCGATCTTCAGATTAAAAGATGACCCACTCTATCACTGAGCCACAGCTCTTGGGAGGAAAATCAGTCACTGTTACAGCTGTGCCCCAGTATTTTATCTGGTGTCCCCATTTTCCATGTGTCTCCTATGCTCCCCTTTCTGTCTCAGTTCTTGGTGCGGCGCTCCCTCTCTCGTTTTCCTGGCTCCTGCTCAACCAGAATGCCCGCCAATAATCACCTCTGCTGCAGATCAACCCTTCGCCACATCGTTGTTTGGCCTCTCAAGGCTAGTTAATTCTGAGAATGTCACAAACCGGACCGAACGGCCATGACAAAAAAGGGAGATGCATTCAATGAAGCAGTTTAACAATTATTTATTAGGTTTAAAGTAACATAAAAGACAAACATAAACTAACAGTGACATGTGAAGTCAGTAATATCAGCAGTGTGAGTGTGTAAGTGAGTGAGTGAGTGAGTGAGTGTGTGTGTGTGTGTGTGTAAAGTGTATATGCAGTGTTGTATAGTGTAGAACCGCAACCGAAATGGGTGTCTCAGGAAGGAGAGTGCGACCCACTGAGAATCCAGAGGGTTTTTATACAGGGTGCTCTGGCACACAGGGCTAGTGTTCTGAATGGCCTGAATGTTTCCACTCTGCCTGACGACCCTCTGCCACACCCACCTCCAACATCTGCAAGGAGAGCAGCCAAACGAACAGGCAGACAGGGCAGAGAGAGTTGCCTACTACTCATGTTGTTTTTCCAGCCTGACATTAAAGGGATAGTTCAGCTTTTTTTGAGATGGGGTTGCATGAGGTACCTATCCATAGTTAGTTTATTTTACCTACAGTAGATGGCAGTCGACATGCCCCTAGTTTGGAGAAACAGACAGGAGTACCAGCAAAATGTATTTTAACCACATAAAAAATATATATATCAGTCCACCAAGTAACTTTTCGACAAAAAACCAAAAATACAGAATAATTCCTATCAAAGAAGGCATCTGTGTCTACCAATACACACACTGTACACACAGAGTCAGAGGGGAAACAAACAACAACAGCACTCAGGCACTGATATGGGATCTCAAATCAATAAATCATGAGCATTTCCAGTAAAAAAAATAAAAAAGTTCCAGATATAGGACTAATAGTGGACTAGAATAGTTTATGTGCACTCACCTGACCATACTCTTTCTCTATAGCTGCTCGTTGCTTACTGAAAGTCCTTGGGGAACAGGGAATAACACAACACACAGCATCAACAGATATGTCATCTGACATGCTTTTACTCTCCGTCTCTCTGTTGATCTTTTTGCATATGGCCCGCTGTCTCATTGAATACAATAGGATGATTTCATGCAGATATCAATTGTCTGGTAAATGTACCTGATCTCCTCCAGCAGTTCAGTGTCCTGATGTTGTTTGGTCTGCAATTTGCTGAGCTGCTCTGAGAACACCAGTTTCACCTGCTGGCTCTCCTTTACCTGCATGCACACACAAGCACACAAACACACACGCACACACACACACACCGATATGTCATTCTGCATAATGAGATCTTTACTCTTGGTACTTTAAGTATATTTTGATGCAGGGACTGATGTACTTTTTACTGAGTAAAATTTTGAATGCAGGATTTGTAACAGTATTTCCACACTACTCTTACTTAAAGTAAAATTATTCAATACTTCTTCCACCACTGGCCATCAGTCAAGCTTGGTTATCAAACAACACTGTCCAGTCAGTAATATTTTTAGCATTATACTGTTTCGTAACTACTGTTAGTAAAATACATGATCAAATTATTTCATAAATAGAAAAAACACTGTGTCTATTATGAAGAAAGTTAATAATGCATCTATAGCTTAATCTAAAAACTCATAGCAGGTAGCATAGAACAAAGGTGACAACACAGGTTACACATCCAGGTAACTCTTGTTTGAGGAGTCATGTGGGAGTGGTTACAAATTATGATATTTTGCCCATTTTTGAAGACAGTACTTTATGAAGGTCAAGTTACTGCAATGTCTCATTTTCGTTTTTTGTTTCAGATGTCTTTACATTAAATCACAATATACCACACATGTAAATGAGACTGTACATGATACCAGCCTTATTGTGTGTCTATTAACATTAATAGTAATAAACTTAAGACTGCAACTTAATAAAAAGTAGGGATAACATGCAATAATTATCATACAGATTATGCAATTCACCATTATTCCACCTGCATGAAACTACTATAAAGCTACACTGAACAATTTCACTGATTCATGTCTACAACAGTGACATTAAGCAATGATATTAAACAAACAGTGCAGTAACTTTGCTTTCAAGTTAAGTAACCAGAAGCTCTCTAAGGTCTTGAAGCTGTAGTTGAGTTGAGCTACGCATATAGTCAATGAGTTAAACAAGGATTTTACACAGAGCGATAACTTTTTCAACAGGCAGGAAATAACAACAGCATTATTCTAAAACCTCTAAACAGACTTATTTGTTAAGACAGTCTGCCCCTGACTTTATTGATATTTTTCCATCCTTCTTTCTTTGTTAACAAAGAGTTTAATCTCACGGTTGTTCAGTACATCCGTGTGTTTTAGTTCCAGTAAGAAGTCCTTCTCCATTCATGGACGCCAGTGAAGACAGTCGAGCCTCCCCAGTTGTATTTCTTGAATAGGTTTTAATGCGCTTGAGGCTGAAAATGTCCGCTCGACAGAGGCAGCAGATATTGGGATTGTCACCGCCCAACATGTCCACTGACCAATCACGTATGGCTAGGCTGGCTAGAAGGCTCTCACATGTCAAAGGATGGGCCCAACATGTCAAACTAAAGATCTGATTGGTTGAAGACTGTGACAATCAACAATATCGTCCCCATTCACTTAAACTGCAAAGGGATTCACTTGTGAGTCTGCAGGCCTCGGGCCTCTCTTCTTACCTAGAGACACAGAGGTGAAATCTGATTGGATAAAAGCTCTACTTAAAACAAGCTGCACTGGAAGCAGAGCAACTGAGGAAGACAGTAGCTGTGCAATGAGAAAATAAGATAATGGGAAAAATATTTTTATAAATTACAATACATGTAGTGTATTTAAGAAAAAATATTGAATTATAAAATAGCTATAACTTTGTGATTCTGCTTAGACCAGCAGAGAAGGCCTAGCAGGCCCTGACGGCCCGCCCCTGCTGTTAAGTCACTAAACCCAAAGGCAGTAACACAATGGTAATTAAGCCTGATGAAAGTATTGCAATAAAAATTTGCGGTATTACGAACTTGGTGTCTGCGGCGACATTCCCAAAGAAAATGCTGTATTAGGGCCTGTGTCCACATAGCGCTTTTCTAAGTGCCAATGTCTCTTTTCAATCGATGCGGCTGCCCAGAGAAAAGACACTGCACCCAGCGTCTTTTTTCTGGACGCTCCGCCTTTTCTGTGCGGCCGCTCCGAGCGCTGGTGATTTAACTATAGTAAATGGAGGAGAAGCTTGTTTTGGCCGAGTCTGTCTATCCTGAATGTTATATTTCGGACGGATGCTATCATATCAAAGAGAGAAAAGCCCATTGATGGGATCGAATAGAAAGTTGCCCAAATAGATAATACAAAGCAAAGGTGCGATGCTAGTCTACCATACAAAAGTGTGGTGATTTGCTATAACATGATATGGCAACGGTAGTGCATATACATGCTGCAACCGGTAGCTCCCATGATTTCGCTACATTTCTGTCTTTATTTGTTGTTTTTTTTGTGTTTATGGCATATGACAGAATACATTCATCAACATCTGAAAAGGAAGCGTGGGGATTAAGTGCAGCGGACCTTGAGACGATCACCGCGCACGGCCGACCGACCAGCCGGACCTGCCAGACCAAACGCCGCCAGGGAGGAGTGGGACCACAGCTGAGATGGAAGCTAAGCTAACCCAGCTAGGACCTGAGGCTAAATGATCCTTGAATCCTTGAATGTTGTCAAGATTGTTGTCATAGCATATTTTTTTTAAAGTGCTCGGAGGGCTTTTGGGTTGAAACGCTGTTATGTAGCACTACCTAGCGCCCTGCAGCCGCTTTTCTGTCTGACAAAGGTGCTATGTGTACACAGGCACTGACTGTTTTTCTCCATGGCCTACAAACAAAAAATGGAACTATAAACACAATTATGAAAAATAGCATGTTAGTGTGGAATTTTAGCCACAGCCCAAGACTCTACACAGAACCTCTTAGCACAATTTGATTGTTTTCACATTTAAGAACAAACAATAACCCACCCATTCAATTTCATATTATGACTGACCACATCACACTTCTTTATTCTACCAGAGAGGTGTTTGAACGGCCATCAGATAGGCTCTTCAGTCTAAACAGCGTTTAGACTTTATGGCAGACCTTTAACTTAAAAAAAGCACAGGTGTAACTAATGACATTAATTATGCCCGTGTTCCATTTCCCATCATTAGTGAGCCAACAGTTTTCCCTTATGAGGTAATAGATTACATTCACTCACTACTTGTGATTTTTCTGTAATGATGTGAAATTGTCTACCATGACAACAGTTGTATTAGGTGATGGTTGAAGTTCGTAAATCAAAGGCCAACCGTGGCATTTTTAACATAGTCACAGTCACATCATAGGAAAATTAGTTTTCTTCTTTCATCATTTTTATTTTCAATGTTAAGTTCTCTTTCAATAAAAAAAGAAGTGTTTCTCTTTCAACCAGTGTTAGGTGTTCATTTAGTGGATATTCAAACATAGGGTTTGAGAGTCAAAATCTTCATTTTTTGAGAGGTAATATCAATCATTAAGCTTTCCAAAAAAAACCAAGAAAAACAATCCGAAAGACATTAAAAGGTCTATGGGAAAGGTTTTTGAAAATTCCTGTCGTGCTGCTGGAATTGTAAATTTTCCATTTCCATTTTACCAGTAACACAAACAATTTTGAATTGCTTACTCTCCCAATTGTAAAATGAGTTATGGGTTGCAGATATTTGCTTTCACGAGAGTACTATGAACTATAATGTAGGTAACACTCCAACTAGAGTGCAAGATGTAACGTCTCAAAAGTCATAGGGTCATTAATGCCTTATAACATACACGCTTAGCTTGTACAGTACATTTATTTAGAACATGTAACCAACATGTAACCAATACCTTGAAGGTACATGGACTGTTATTGGCATTCACAGAATGGGCCAAAATACATTTTCAATACTTGCAGACAGATGCTTTCACAGAAAATACATCCACTATCAAAAGCAAAATATTTCAAATGCCATATGTATAGAATATAGTATATATACAACATAAACCTCTCTCACCTACTGTACCTCTTGAAAGCAAACTATGTATTGTTGTACAAGTATTAATTAGAAAACTTTAAAAAGTGTGTTATCAGTAAACAACATTAATATTTACTCTTCTTGCACAGTAGTCTACGGTACCTTACCTTTCTGGGTGGTGGCTGCATAGCTGGTTGCTGAAAGTGTCCCCTTTTGTCTCTGTTAATGTGTTACATTACTGCTACTTCCCTAGTATTTGCGCATGCTGCATGCATGCCGTCTCTGTCTCTCTTTCTCTCAATCTCGCTGTCTCTCTCTGTCTCTCTCTCTCTGTGGTGCCGTCTTGAAGAAAGCCTACAGAGGGCAGCAGAAGCCAATGGCTACATCATTAAACAAAAGGACAAGTCACAAAGTCACAATGTTACCTTCAACACAAAATAGCACAGATATGTCAACATTTTTTCATGTCTGTCCTAAAAACATCTCTTACATGCCCAGAAATACTTTTTGTTTGCTCCAATTATTTCTTGTAGTCAGTCTGGCCACAAAGACCGTTTTAAAGCAATTTCACTGTAATCAATTGGGCCAAAATCATCGCCCTCATTCAGAAGAAGTTCACCTGAAGCAGTACAAGACTTCAGCACGTGGACAGATCAGGTGCATGTCTTCCACAGGTACAGTTTAAAGAATTGCTTTTTGGTGTACAATATGTTAAGACAAACTTGAAAAAATTAAAATATATCCTCTGATGCACCACCTTTCTCCATAGAGCAGTCCCAGTTGTAAGTCTTCAATACCAACTACACATGGAATAATCTTTTTTTTTTGCACTCTACAGGCACAAAATAAAGAACTCCAATGAGACATCTAGCCCTAGATCAGGGTACCATCTTTATAAAACACTACACAACCCTTCAGTTTTTAACCTGATTCCCCAAACACCTCCACTGATGGCAATACTGATCCACACCAGTCACAGTTTGGTCATTTACACAGACAGGAATGACAACGCTAACTCTGGTGCAACACATTTCATTTCTGTTTGAAATATGAAAATACAGTTGAAGTCAGAAGTGCTCTGTATTGCGTGCACACTTGAACTCACCCATCACGCACTGACGCTTCCTCTGCCTTTAGCTACTGATGCCCACATATGAGTGCCGTCTGCTGACAATGTTTTGCTTGGCAGGAATAACTGTTACAAATCCCAATGAAAGTCCTAACAATAGAACAATATAAATATGCAAAGTGGTATTAAGTTTGTGACTTTAGCCTGTATTTCAGAGTCAGAACCAGTGGCTGGCCATGTATTTTATACCTGACCCACCTCCTAATAACCCCATTATGATGCCACAGCTACAGGTTATTAAGGGTGTAACAATACACGTATTGAACTGTTCGGTACGAGGCTCACGGTTCGGTATGCATTACGAACCAAACAATACGTTAAAACAAAAGCCCAAACAGAATCAAATGTCCGAAACCTAACCCCTACGGGTTATTTGTTTTGTGTAAAAATGAAGCTCAACACCTACAAATACACTAAATGCAGAGCGCATATACATGAATGTATATGCACATGATGGGATGCTTCATCATTAACGGACAATGTATATAGTCAAAATCAATGTAATTAACACAATTGTCACGGGACATAAAGAGGACTCAAATGCAGACAGTCAGGTGGAGAGAAAAAGGGTTTAATGACAAACCAAAAACACAGGGAATCCAAGGACAAGAAACGACGAGGAAAATCCGGCTGGACAAGGCAGAACAGGCAGGCTGAAAAACCGGGAACAGGACGAGCAAAACGGGCGGGTAGGTAGAAAACAAACAAAGATCTGGCAGGGAGTGAGTGAAAGACAGGGGTTTAAATAGTGACTAGAACAGGTGAGGAGAGTTGTGCTGATGAGGGAGAGTGTGACTGGCATCGGAATCGCTGCGGCCCAGCGGGGACGAGAGTCCGACCCTTCCTCTGCCTCCGTCTCCTCCGAGGGTTGAGCAGGCAGTCCATCATGTCACGTTTCTCCTTCTGGACACTCGGAGGCCCTTCATAGGCCAGACGGGTTCCCGCTAACTGCTGGTACCACTCATGGAGAACACACTCCAAACCGTGGTCTGCTGAGTCCATTTGGGGCCAGATCATTCTGTCACGGGACACAAAGAGGACTCAAATGCAGACAGTCAGGTGAAGAGAAAAAGGGTTTAATGACAAACCAAAAAAAATCCAGCTGGACAAGGCAGAACAGGCAGGCTGAAAACCCGGGAACAGGACGAGCAAAACGGGCAGGTAGGTAGAAAACAAACACAATGATCTGGCAGTGAGTGAGTGAAAGACAGGGGCTTAAATAGTGACTAGAACAGGTGAGGAGAGTTGTGCTTATGAGGGAGAGTGTGACTGGCAGGTGCACTGAATGAACTAATTAGGGACAGGTGAAGGAAGTGAGGAGCTACAGAAAACTACACACAAAACACCCAAGGCAAAGCCTGATTGTGACAACAATGACAAGAACAAACTCACAAGAACCAGTCACATATGACATATGACAACAAAGCATGACACATCAATCCAGCAAAACTGTGGCGCTGAAACACGCATTCTGCCACAGACTAAAGAGCATGGGTCATTCAAATATTATTCACATCAGAGGGAACAATATTAACCATATCATAAAAATGACACTATAGACAAATGAACACAGTAGTAACGCTACTGCAGATGTAAAAAATCAAAAGCAGTTCACTTATCAAAGCTGCTGTTCACTTAAAGACAAAGTCCATCCTCCTTTCTTTGTTAACAAAGAGTTTAATGACACGGTTGTACAGAACATCGGTGCGGTTCAGTTCCAGCCAGAGGTCCTCCTGCGAACTCGTTGAGTTGTTGATCCACTTGGGTTGAAAAAGTATTCAAAAGCACCGTAGCTTGTAAGTGTCCTGTCGTGTTGTTGCTGCCTTGGTTAGGCAACTTAGGTTAGCAAATCCAGCGTAGCTCCAAACACCAAGACGCTCAGTGGCAAATAAAACGCATTCCCAGCCATAAAACTGCGAAGGCTTTGCTGGCCCTGACGGCCCACCACTGGTCAGAACTATATGTGTGTTAAATTTCACTATTTTATTTGATGCAGTTGAGCTGTTTCAACAGTCACTTAACACAAGGTTAACGTTTCAAATGGTCACAGTTTGGATAGGTTTAGGCAATAAAACAAATTGTTTAGGTATAGTTAAAAATCACAATTAGGGCTTCAATAAGTACGTTTGTTACGTAGCTACGTTACGTATGTGACATAACCCGGTGAGCACCAACCAGGATTTCCCTGTGGATTTCTGGTTGAAAACTGGTTGAAATTTGGTCTGAACGAAAATGTTGATGGTTTGTTCAGTTGTAGGTTGAAAGAGAGATAATGATGGTTACTTTGAACGTAATTCTCAAAGTCATATTACACTGGTCAGTGAACTGTGGTCTACATGAAGACGTGATTTGAACGCCTTTAATGTTTCATATAAAACCTTATAAATATGGATTTATGAATGTGTGCTGCCAACAATCGTAATGAGAGCAGAGTATTCTGTCTGTACATTCATGTAAAATACATGTCTATGCTGCTGGAACACATGCGCAGGAACTTTGGCTCAGAGAAACTCGGCACGGGACTTGCGGAGCGAAGTGAACGAGCTGACGGAAGAAACACGAGGCTTCACGCTAACGGCATACTTTGTAAGTACTTAAACTACTGGATTCCAATATTGCAAACCAAAATTAGCACCATTAGTATCATTTCATGCTGCTCACAATGCGGCCGAGGCTGCTAGCTTGTAGCGTTAGCATGTTAGCTAGTAGCGTTAGCTTGTAGTTGCAGCAGCACGGGCCAACAGAAAACATAAACATAACATTAGTTAATGTTGGAGACTGTGTTTATGGGCTGTCGCTGAAGCCCAACGTTATAAAATTTAGTTTTTAGGCCATTTTACATACAAGATACACAACAAAAATAGCGAGTTGGGCTGTACACAGTTTGAATGGGGAGGAAGTGAGTGAAACAAAGTGATGTACTGATACCATTAATGCACATTACTGACTTTGCTTCTTCCCCGGAGTCTTTGTGCTTTCTCGCTTCACAGTTTTCCATGGATAGTGGTTATACCTGGCCCATGGTCTTGCCTCCTGCAGTGGTGCCAGTTTTGAAGACATCTACAGTCCAATTATGTATAATAGTCATAGCGCCACCTACTGGTGACAGGAAGTTAAAGTCTCTATTTTGGCTTGTTTCTCTTCGTAGGTAAATCTGATTAACATCAAATTAGTGCCAAACAAATGTAAGAACTTCATAATGCCAGTTCATGAAGCTTGTTTTGTCGAACGCCGTGAAAAACGAAGGTGCTTTTGAGGTGCAAAAAATGCTCGAAACATAAGCAAACTTGGCACACAGATTTAAAGCCCAAAATTTAGTTCCATATTATGGTTTTGAAGCTTCAGAGTGGCAAGTCGGCTTGATAGCGCCCCCTACAAAATTTCAACGAGGTAGCCCTCGCAGTACGTTTCCTAGATGTATACAATTTTATAAGCAGATGTATCACATTTAGACTTAAAAAAAAGTCTTAAGGGTCCATGCTCTAAACTAGCGGTTTCCAAAACTTTTTAGGCCAGGCACCCCCTTCTACATCCCGACCAGGTTCACGCACCCCCAATCCCCCACACCTTAAAACGCTTTAATGAAGTTCACCAGTTTCACAGCATCATTGAGGAACGAAAGTAGATCAGCTGGCATGTTTTTGGCTGCGAGGGCCTCCCTGTGAACACTGGAATGTAACCAGAGAATGGATGGACAGACTTTCCTGATGTGAGCTATAAGCCCTGTGTGCTTCCCCGTCATCGATTTTGCCCCGTCAGTGCAGATTCCCACGCAGCGTGTCCAGTCAATCCCATTGGTCCTCATAAAGATGTCAATTAAATTGAAGATTTCTTGTCCTGTTGTTCGGGTAGCAAGGGGCCGACAGAACAAAAAATCTTCCTGCACCGTGCCTTCGAAAAGGTAAGGGACGTACACCAGAAGATTGGCCAGATTAGCCACATCTGTAGGCTCGTCTACTTGCAGAGAGTAAAACTCACTCTTCTTCACGCGACCGACTAATGTAGCCAGGATGTCTTCGGACAAAGCATCGATGCGGTGCGACAGTGTTGTTGGACACCGG